TATTCAGCCATAAGAAGAAAACAAATCCTACCATTTGCAACAACATGGATGGAGCTAGAGGGTATTATGCTTAGTGAAATAAGCCAAGTGGAGAAAGACAAATACCAAATGATTTCACTCATCTGTGGAGTATAAGAACAAAAGAAAAACTGAAGGAACAAAACAGCAGCAGAATCACAGAACCCAAGAATGGACTAACAGTTACCAAAGGGAAAGAGACTGGGGAGATTGGGAGGGTAGGGAGGGCTAAGGGTGAGGAAGAAGAAAGGGGGTATTATGATTAGCATGTATAATGTGGGGGATGTGGGAAAGGGGAGGGCTTTGCAACACAGAGAAGACAAGTAGTGATTCTACAACATCTTACTATGCTGATGGACAGTGACTGTAATGGGGTTTGTGGGGGGGACTTGTGGTAGGGGAGAGCCTAGTAAACATAATGTTCTTCATGTAATTATAGATTAATGATAACAAAATAAAATAAAATTAAAAAATTTAAAAAAAAGATATGATAAAGGGTACAGGTGGACAGTCAGATGAAAAGATACATAGGGCGAGGTCTGGGAGGGTCCTGAGGGCAGGAGCTTCTGTCCGTGGAGTTGGGGTGCACCCTCTCCCAGCACATGAATGTGTTCACCCACCTGGAAACTCCCTGAACCTCATGCTTGTGGGATTTTTATGGAGGCTTCATCACATACACAGAATTGATCAGTAACCTAGTCTCCAGCTTCTCTCTCCTTTTACAAGGACGTGGGGGTGGGACTGAGAGTTCCAAGCTTGCAGGCACGGTGAGCAGCCCCGTCCTGAAGCAGTCCAGGTGCCCACCCAGACTTGCTTCATTAGGACAAAAAAGCACTCCCCCCATCCAGGAACTTACAAGGGATTTAGGAGCCCAGTTTCAGGAACAAGATCAAAGACCAAATACTAGAACAGAAGATGCTCTTAGTGCTATTATCACTCAGGAAATTACAAGGGTTTTAGGAGCTCTGTGCCAGTAACTGGGGGAAAAGACCATTATCTATTTTCTATTATTTCACATGCCCCAAGTGATACTTAGGATTAAATAAGTTTTAGAAATGCTGTCCTACTCAATATTTACTGCTATCCAAAACTCTGGCCTGTTGTGGGGTAGGTCATGATACTCAGGGCCAAGCAGGTGTCACAGGAGCAGGGGGGCTATTTCTCTGAGCGCTGCCTGGCTCACCGGTAACTCTCTTGGAACCCCCTTTCTTAAAATCCAGGATTTTGTTTAGCTTTAGTTTTTTAAAAACCAAATGTCACCCCCTCTCCATTGTAGCTGGTCCTTTGAATTCTCAGCACGGGACCTATTTTTAACCAGCTCAAGTGTCATCTGGAAAACTAATGCGCACACTCTTTTCTCATCACTGATCACAGGTGAAAATGTTAAATATTCCCATTCTCATCTTCTCTCCCTCAGTACTTTTATCTCTGCCTCCAGGCTGAATCTAAATCACTGGGTTTGGCCTTTCAAGCAGTTGTGTGCAAAAGAGGAATCAAATAGGGCACTGAGCATGCTTTTCAGCTTATCTGATGAATCTGTCTTGCCAGATAGGACCCGAGGCCTTCCGGAGAGGCTGGGATGGGTCTCTTGACTTGGCTTTGCAGGGCACAACGTCCCTGTGTCATTAAAGACAACACACATGGTTTGACAGGGCTTGTCTTTGGTTAAGCTCTGTTGATTATCATTTGCTCATTTAGTATCTTTTATTGCTAATTTTTCTCTGGAAGATTTGGTTCAGTGATTTTCCTGGTGTAAAAATTAAGCAGGCTGCTCTTTTCCTCATTTGTTCTCCCATTCAAAGTGTTTCAGGAGCAGTGACACCCTCTCCTAACTGGATCACCATAAGTCCATTCCTCACATGGCTGCTCCCAGGGTTATCTTTTTAAAACAAACCCAACCTTGTTAGTCTTGTGCTTAACACCTCCCTCTGCTCCTCAAGGATGAATTTCCAGCTCCTTAGCTTGATGTTCATAGTCTTCTCTGCCACTCCTTTGTATTCTCGACCTCACACGTTTTCTTCTGCCAACACAGGCTGCTTCCTGTTTGCAGACATACTCTCTCGTTTCCTGACCTCTCACCTCTGGGGCTACAGTGAGGGGATGGGAACGCCAGGGCAGGGACTTAGGACCTGTTTGTTTGCGAGGATGGATGTGCCTACTCTGCCTGAGCACACAAACAGTTGTGCTGCTCTCCTGGGCCTGGGCTTAGCTGAGCCAGGAAGGAACAGAGTGTGTCCTTTGTCCACGCGGCAGCCTGGCTCAGGGGCTGCTGCCTTTCTGCGCACCTGTGAGGCTTTCCCCATTTGACACTCCTGCTGTCACCCCCTGAGATGAGGAGTGGGTCCTGGAAGTGAGAAGCTCCAGCGTGCAGCAGCGCCACCTCAGATGAGGAGCCCCGTCAGACCGCATGGTAGTGGTCAGGTCATCGTGGGGCCATGCCCTGTGGACAGTGGGTGTTTATCTCTAGGAGCAACCTCTTAGCTGGCTTACAAATTTTACATCCCATATATTATAACCAATCAATTGCTTCTTATTTTCTACTTCAAATGACCTTGAATCTTCACACATAGCTCTTTCTCTTCCATACGAGCAATGTTTCTATCGTGCTTTTTTATTGAACTAGGAGTTGCATTGTAATGTTGTGTGTGTTTGTGTGTGCATGGAGGAGAGGGGGTTCTGGACAGTGGGGATTTTCTACAGAACCTCTTTTCTACTGGAGCCCTTAAGGCTCTAGAAGGATCCAGGCCTTCTCATGTTTATATTTCCTGACTGATATGCTGCAGGGAAATAAGAAATAAGAAGTAAAGGTGAATATAGCAGAGTTCCTCCGCTTAGAGATCTTATGGCCAGTAAGGATCTCAAATAGATAAGCAGGTAGAGCCTGGGTCGGGTACTAGGAGATTACAGAAGACATGGAGCTTGTCCGTTTGGGGATGGAGGATGGGGATAGCGAAGCTGTCTGGAGAGGACAGCATTGAGCCAACTTCTGATGAGGGAGAGAATTTTTTCAGCTGTTAGGGAAGAGCAGGCTGAGCTAATACAATCATGTGTCCAACCGCCATGAATTCCTCTCTTCCCAAATGGTTGTTACTATTTATGTTTAGCTGATAAGACATTGATATCAAGTTAAAGGACTGACAGCTTGCCAATAGGTCCTGGGTCCTCCAGGCCTGGAAGAGTTTCCATAATCGTAATGTCCCTTGTGGGCTTGGCTTTGCTGCCTTCACCTTTTCAAGGTCCTGGGTAGCACTGAGATGCTGATGAAAGCTACTATCCTCTCCCTAGAAAAATATTTTCCCAAAAATAAATATATGAAATATTTATAATATTATAAATTATATATATATATGCACACATATATAATATTTAGATTTTGGTTTCGAGGGCTGGCAGACCCCTGGAAGTGCTTTAATCCAACTTAAGAAGCCAGACTTTAGGGGCTGTTTTACTTTTCAGCAGGTCTCTAGGATTAGGATTTTTCTCCTCCATGGACTCATGGGCTCTGCCTTGAGAGTGACCTTAAAAGTTACCTAAAACAAATTGCTTAAATGATTTTTCAGGGCTTTCTCTGCAAGCCTGTCACATATTGTTTAAGCCTATTCTTGAAAACTTCTAGAGTTGGGAGTTTATTATGTTTTGAAGCAATTCCTTCTATCTTGGGTAGCCCTAACTGTTAAGTTCTTACTCTTACTAAACCAAAATTTGTTTCTTAATTTTTCATTTCTGCTCCTGTCCAGCATGGCCTGGAGCAAGTGCAGATCATCTATCTTCGATTGTCTCTGCTAATCTCTCCTGTCCTTCATGAGTTTAAAGTCTTTTATTTTGGGGTTTGAGTATTGAGGTCCCTGGGAAATCATTCTCCATAATGTGGAAATCTCTGTAAAAGCATTTCCCAAGCTGTCTTCTGAGAACGCTTGAGAGAATCAATATGTTTCTAGGGAATGAATGAAGTATCTCAGGGCTAACTAAATTTGAAGAATGCTGCATTGATTTCTCCTTCTAGGAGAGCTATAATGCATATTAGTATACTAAAGGCTCTGATAAGCCCTGCAGCAAAGAATTTTCATTTCACATCTCTGTTACATTTAGAGAAATAGGTTTTTGCTGACATCAAATTGGGAACTCGTACTCTGGAACTGAGTTTTTTTTAAAAGAGTATGGGGAATGAATGTTTTAAGGAAGCTAATCATCCCCAAATTAATTTTCTTCTTTTTTTCCTCTATACAGCCTCTTGATTTTGAAAAAGCAGCTCTTCACAACATTGTGCTCCATGCGGAAAATCCTGAGCCACTGGTGCCTGGTGTAAAGTACAATGCCAGCTCTTTTGCCACGTTCACACTTACTATAACAGATGTGAATGAAGCACCCCAATTTACCCAACATGTATTCCAAGCACAAGTCAGTGAAGATGTGGCTATAGGCACTAAAGTGGGCAACGTGACTGCCAAAGATCCGGAAGGTCTTGACATAAGGTAGAGGAGAGCAGTACTGGGCAGGCCTGGCTGTGGGGAAGAGAAGGGGCAGAGAAGCTGGTCAGACTCCAGGGTTCTCCCTTAAGAGTGCAGCCGGTAACCTGAAGCCCTTTCCCCATGTACATGGTGAACTTGTCTTGCTTCCAGTAGGTGTCAGTACCCGAGGGCATCAATGAAAATCCAGACTCAGGTAAGTGGGAAGCACGTCAGGTCTATCCTAGTCTGGCCACTGCGGGTCCCCACTGAGAGCTGGTGAGTTCGGGAGATGTGGCCCAGAGACTGTGCCCCTGTACACAAAGCCAGGCGCTGTGTCTGAACCAGTCCTGGGGGCCAGGATTTGGAGGACAGGTCCAGCCTAGGCCCTAAAGCGGGCTGGAGTTCTAGACAGAGGGAATGAGGCAAAAGCCCAACTGGACAGACCCAGCGACCTGCCAGGTCTAAGGGCATCTTCTAGATGTAGAGTGCACAGGTTCCTCAGATCTCCAGGTCTGGGGCACAGCCTCATTCCAGAGTCTACCCCTGGAGAGGCTAGTGCTAAGGCTGGGGTGGTTAAACAAAATGTGTAAATCTTTCCTTTTTAGCAATTCTCAACCTTTTTTATTTTTTCAGTGCAATAGGACCCACACAGATTTGCCTTAAAATATTTTGATGATAATTAACTTGCCCGAGATTTATATGTATGTGTATATTTCTGTATCTGTATCAGTATCCATATCCTCTTTAAGATCATATAATTACTAAGCATATAGATAGGACTAGAACCCATATCTCTTGCTTCTATTGTATAACATTAGCTCTACCATCTATGGCATGACATATTTCAGCACGACTTAATCCAATGCATATGGTTATAAACAGTAATTCCTTTGGTTTCTCTAAACATCTGAGGGGTGTCTCCTCCCAGTGAGCTGTCATGTAGGCACCTGGAATGAGTTCTGAGAGCTGTTTCTGATTGTCAAGGATTAAAGTTCCTACCTACTGTTATACTCTTTACCCCCTTCTCTAGTTTTGTAAAAACAAACGTAAGAGAGGAAAAACCAGTGGGGCTATACTGTCAGAGTCACAAGTTATGATGGGGCACAGAATTTTATAGTTTGACAACCACTTATTGTTTAACAAATGCTTCTCCTTCCTTCATGAGAATGATATAAAAATCATTGGTCAAAAGCAAATGAATAAAAATCTGAGTTTATGAGTTGAGAAAACAAAGACAATGAGAAAACTTCTCAGATGGATCAAGGAAAAAATATATGTACCATTAAGCTGAGATCAGGAAGATGAGAAGATTGAGAAGCTGAGTGTTCTGTGAGAGAAGCCCTGGGAGACAGATGAGGAAAGCATCTCAAGAATGAGGACTGATCACTGGTTCTGATGCCCATAAACTGAGAATCACGGATCACTCCAAAACTTTGGCCTGAGCAAGTGAATTCTTTTTTTTCTGTCTGCTCCACAAACTTAGAATCCATCAGCACCCAACGGACCCCAATCCAGTCCACCAGCAAATAATAGATTCTTTCATTAAATGCACCCAGAATGTAACTGCTTCTCACCACTTCCGGCATGGTCCAGGCCACCATCTTCTCTCTTCTGGATCCATCCTGCCATTTGTCCACTCCACCTGGAGTCTATTTGCTGCAATCAGAGTGGTCTTTTAAAAAAGTAAATCAGATCACACGACTCCTCTAAAACCCTCCAAAGGGTTTCCAGCTCGCTCAGGATGAAATCCCCAATACATAGGGTTTCTTGTTCATCACCTATAATACAGCCTAACAGTGCTTGGCATATCAATATACTAACATTGGGAAAAAACTAATTTGGTAAATTAACACATTATAACTTTTTAGTCATTCTCTTATTCTGGAACATGTGGGTTGTTTCTCATATTTTTTATTGTATAAAATGTTTTCAATATAGGTATACATACAACTTTTTGAAGTACTATTAAATTGTTTTCTATTTCAGGAAAATTTGCAGAGGTGGGATTCTTTGGTTTAAAAACATGGACATCCTTATGGCTGTGCACTTCTTCCCAAAGGGCTATACCAATTGGTTTTCCTGTGCTTCTAGCCTTTTTCTCTCAAATTCATCTCTCACACACCCACCAATGATTTCTGCTGAAAACACAAATATGGCTAGGCCACTTTCCTGCTTACCATTACATGCCTACCCAAAGCTCTTCACATGCTCTGGCTCTTTCTAATCTCCTTGGCATCATCTTTTGCCATCCATCCTCTTTTCCCATTTTTATTCCACCACTGATGAATGTTTGAGTCCCCCATACCCACTAAGTTATTCCTTGACCTCTCTGGGTTAGCTCATGCAACCCCTTCTGCTGCAAGCATCCTCCTTTTTTCTTGCCTTGTTAACATCAACTCCTTCAGACAGACTTCTCTGATTCCAAGAGTTCCTCTGGGATTCCACAGGACCCCTTTCATTGTTTTACCGCATTTTATTAGAATTGTCGTCTTTTGGTCTACTGTTTGAGTTTTGCTAAGCATTCAACAGATGCTAAATGAGGGGATTACTGTGCCACCAGCAGCCTTTGAGTATCCACCCATTCACACAGTCTCTACTCCTGGGTCTTTAAGTTTTCTTGGAGGGGGTGGTTTACTAATCAGTTTTAAAAGTTTCTTCCAGGTTGCTTTAATTGGAATTCTTTGATTGCCAAGAAAGTTTTACTTTTTTCCCCTCAGAATTTGTGACTATACCGTTTCTAACAAAACAAGTAGAACTACCACTTTGTAATGATGGACAAATTCTCCTTTTGAAGATAGATGGTATGCAAGTAAAGCACTGATATTAGATAATAGTCCTGTAAATATGTTATAAATAATTTGCAAGGCATAGTGCTGATATAATAGCATAATGATGCATAAATCATCTGTCATGCAGAGTAATCTGGGCTTTCTTTTGCTCTTTTCACTTTGTGAAGTTACTCACTGAGAGGCAACAAGAGAAGCTGGCTTAAAATTGACCCCGTCACTGGTGAGATCTTTACCGTGGCTCCGCTGGACAGAGAAGCTGAAAGTCTGTATCGGGTACAAGTGGTGGCAACCGAAGTAGGTGAGCAGAAACCCCCCCAAACCCGGAACAGATTCTTAGGGGATGTATCAATAGAAATGAGGGGAAGGTGGGGCAGATGGGAAATTGTCAGAATATCTTACAGTGGAAGTATGGCAAAGGTCCAAGTGTCAGGGGAAGTGCTCAGCCTCTCTGGTTCTGCTCAGGATGAGAACCACCTTTGCCCGGAGCAGGGCTCCTTCAGGCCGGCAAGGAGGCTGGCTCGGCTTCAGGGATGCTGCTCACTCTGTAATGGCTACAGCTTCTGGAAGCTTCCTGTGTCCCTGCTGAACTAGTACCCGCCAGCCCCTACCTTCTCCAAAGTGGTGTGGGTTTCTCCTGGCAGTGGGGTCAAACCGCTGCCTTGCTACTTAGACCATTACTTGCTCCTTCAGCAGGGACTCAGGTTTCAGCTTTTGTGAAACAGAAAAGGTTAGTGTTCTCAGCTTTCATTTGTGCCAACATCACCTGGGGAGCTTGTTCAATACAGACAGTAGGAGCTCAGTCCTGGAGATGCTAATGCAGTACATTTGGGTAGGCCTGGATAGCTGTGTTTTGATGAAATTGGGTGAACTTTTGATAGGAAACATTTTCTATATGGATAAGCCAAGGATGTTGAGGTATCCTTATATAATCTGCACTCCATTTAATTTGGTTGTGGTGATACATATTGCCCACTGGCCCTGAATGTGGGGCTCCAGGGAATTTTAAATAAAAATAAAAATAAACATAAACTCTTAGGAATAAGGCTGGTGATTAAAACATTGAATTTCTTTGCATTTAAATGGAATTTTCCAATTTAGAGTAGGAATTCTGTTGACATTATGCTGAGCTGAACTTCTAATTAGATAGTAAATATATCTGCTTGGTTTACCAGAAAATGAGAATTGAACAAATTAGGACTAAATAAATACAGTTTTAGACAGAAAAATAAACTTTCAAAATGTGAGGTCCAGGGTTGGCAGCTGGAATGGGGAACATTCCAGTAGGTGGGAATCATTAAAATGGATCCATCATGTGAAAAGATTAAGAAAAACAAAAATACTGCAGTCAAGTTAAACCAAAGAGGGTAGAAATGCAGACGTGTTTAGAATGGCTGTGTGTGAGGGACGGGCCTTGCTGAGGAGGGTCAGGGGTTGGCTTTCTGCCTTGCTTCTGGTTGAACACATTCCACTATCACATTGTATATATTTAACTCTTGATTTAAAAGCTCCTGACTAATCAGCTGGAAGTTTCTGGCCGAGCCATTATGCTGTGCATTCCACCACAACAGACTGTGGAGATCAACCCTTCACTGTGGATGTGTCCTCAAGGCCTCTCGCATTTTAGAAGTTTCATGAACCAAAACCAGGGTTCAAAACCCTGCTCCAGTTTTTGCAGTTGTTGGCCCTGAAATGATGCAGTGGACAAAATGAAGTCAAGAGCGCAATGGCTTTTCCTCCTTTGGTTGAGTGTAGTCAGGGCCATAGAAGATAGTTGAAAAGAAGAGCTAGAAAACAGGGTTTACTGGAATTGAAGCGAGTTGGAATCTGAAAGTGTAAAACAATATCTGTGATTGATGTCAGGGAGAATGAGAATAGTCAGTGTTTGCATTGCACTGATAGCACCATTTTAAGCACTCAGTGTAATAACTTACTCCTCATACAACACTGTGGGAAAGGTACTATTACTGACCATATTTTATGGATGAGGAAATTGAGGCCCTGAGAGGTAGTTTGCCCACAATCACACAGTTACCAACTGTACAGGCTATGGAGTCTTAATTTTTCACCATTACATCATAGTAAATAATGTTTGTGCAGCCCTTCACTGTTTTCTAAGAGCACTACATGTGGGATCCTCACAAAGGCAGTTGTGAAGGCATATAGTTGGAGAAATAAAGCTTAATAAAATGCTTAAGTCAGTGTTGAGCAATAGAGGATGTGGACTCTAAAGTTGGACCTCCTGGGTTGGAAGGCTCTCTGTTGCTGTGTGACCTTTGGCAAGTTACACAGCTTCTCTGAGTCTCAGTCTTCTCATCTGTGAATGTACATCAGAGTTGCAGTAATGTAAATAAAATATTAGCACATAAATCTTAGTTATGATTATTATGATCATTAAGACTTTTTAACCAGGAAATAAAGCAGGGTCTGATTCTTAAAAGCTTGTTACATTTCTAGTACCTCCATATACTCAACCACTTGAACTATTAATTTTTTTTTAAGATAAGAAAATATCTTTTCTCATTTAGAGGAAAATGAGAGAGCTGATAGCATGTTTCAATGGCTCAATTTCTTAGGTGGATCCTCCTTGAGCTCCATAGCAGATTTCCACCTGACTCTCACGGATGTGAATGACAACCCCCCTCGACTAGTCAAAGAGTACACAGGCTTGTTCCTCTGTTACCCACTCCAAGCACCCGGAAGTCTCATTTTCGAGGCCACTGATGATGATCAAGTGTCATTTCGAGGTCTACATTTTACATTTTCCCTTGGCAGTGAAAGCTTACAAAATGACTGGGAAGTGACCAAAATCAATGGTGAGTTTTCAAAAGTATATGGAGGAGAACAGATGGATGATGAAATTAGTTTTTATTTGCTTTTGTGTGTTTGCCGTACTCAACGTAGAGCTTCTTTCTTCCATGCCCCAGGAGAGAAATTCATGCTTTGGAAACCTGCCCAGGGAAGCTGTCTAGAGCGGAGAAGCCCTGGGCTTTGGAGGGAGGAAAGATTAACACACAGCATCCCCTTAGTGTAGGTGGATAGTTGGACAACTGAGGAGCATTTACAAAATTAATGACAGCTGAGAAACAGAGTTCATGATTTTTAAGAACAGCTTTATTGAAATATAATAAATTGCACATAAAGTTTACAATTTTATAAAAATTGACATGTGTGTACCTTGAAGCCATCAGCACAATCATGATAAGAACATTTCCAACACCTCCAAAAGTTTTTCATGCTCTATTTCAGTCCCGTTTTCCACCCTGCCCATTCCCCATCCTCAGGTAACCACTGACCTGCTTTCTATAGCTGTAGATTAGTTTGAATTTTCAATGTAATACAGTATGTACTGTTTTGGTCTGGCTAGGGCACTCGTTTTGGGATTTATCCACATTGTCACATGTCTCAGTACTTCATTCCTTTTTACTGCAGAGTAGTATTCTATTATATGGCTACATCACATGTGGTTTATCATCCACTCAGTTAACTGATGGTCACGTAGGTTACTTCCAGTTTCTGCTATTACAAATAAGGCTGCTATAAACATTTGTGGACAAAGTTTTATAGGATCAGATGCTTTCATTTTTCTTGGTTAAATATCTAGAAGTAGAATGGCTGGGTTAGATGGTAGCTCTATAGTTAACTTTTTAAGAAAATGTCGAATGCTTTCCAGATAGCTTGTAACATTTCACATTCCCACCATGTGTGAAAATTCTAGTTCCTTAACATTTTCCCCAAAACTTGCTCAGTCTTTCTAATTTTAACCATCCTAGTGGGAGCATAGTAGTAGTTCATTATGGTTTTAATTCATCTCTCCCTACTGACTAATGGTGTTGAGTATCTTTTCATGTGCTTATTTGCCACCCAGATGTTTCACTGGTGAGTGAGTGGTCAAGTATTGTGCCCATTTAAAACATTTAGCTGTTTGGCTTCTTTGTTGAGTCATAAGTATTCTTTATATAGTCTAGATACAAGTTCTTTATCAGACGTATGTTTACAAATATTTTCTCCTAGGCCATGGTTTACATTTCCATTTTGTAACAGTGTCTTTGAAGAACAAATTTAAAAATTTTGATGATGTCCAATTTATTGATTTTTTTTCTTATATAATTTGTGACTTTTTTTGTGTGATGTTCATGAATTTTTGCCAAACCCAAGGCCATAAAATTCTTTAATTTTTTTCTCCCCCAAAGGTTTTATAGTTTTAGCATTTGCATTTAGCTCTGTGATCCATTTCAAGTTAATTTTTGTACATGGTACAAGGTAAAGGTCAAGGTCCATTGTTTTTAATATGGTTCTCTAATTGTTCTAACACTATGTATTGGAAATATCCTTTTTTATTGAATTATCTTAGCAGCTTTGTCAAAAATCAAGTGACAACATACAGATGGATCTATTTCTGGACTTTCTTTTCTGTTTCATTGATCTCTATCTTTGTACTAATACTATACTGTTTTGTTTAAGATTTGAAATCAAGTAGTATAATTTTTTCCAACTTTGTTCTTTTTCAGGATTACTTAATCTATTCTAGGTCTTTTGCATTTCTATATAAATATTAGAGTTTAGCAAATCTTTTTCTACCAAAAAAGCCTATGGAGATTATGACTGGGATTGGGTTGAATCTATAGCTAAATTTGGGAAAGAACTGACATCTTAACAAAATTGAATCTTCCAACCCATGAACATCTCCATATTTTTAAGTCTTCCTTAGTTTCTCTGAGCAAGGTGTTTCAATTTTCAGTGCATAGTTCCTGAAAAATTACCACTAAGCATTTCATATTTTTGATGCTATTTTAAATGGTACTCAAAATAAAAAATTTTTCAGTAATTCAAGATACAGGAACATAATTGATTGTGTATTGATCTTACACATCCTCAGCATGTAGCCTATAACATTGCTGACCTCATTTATCAGTTCTTCCTTTTTTTAAAAGATTCCATAGATTTTCTACATAGACAATCATCTGTGAATAATAACAGCTTCATCTCCTTTCCAATTTGGATTCCTTTTATTTCTTTATCTTGCTTTATTACTGACTAAAACCTTCACTATAATGTTGAATAAGATAATGAGAGCAGAAATAACTTGGCTTCTTCCTGATCTTAAGGAGAAAACATTCAGTCTTTCACCATTAAGTATATAGTTAGCTGTAGGTGTTTTGTATATGCCATTTATCAGATTGAGGACTTGTTTCTGCAAAACTTGAGTTTTTAAATTTAAAACTAGGAATGGATGCTAAAATTTTCAAGTACTTTCTTCATTTTTTGACACGATTGTGTGGTTGATTTGTTTGTTTCTTTGTCTGTTAATTGGTGAATTATATCCTCCAACTTTTGATCTTAAACCAGCCTTCTCTTCCTGGGATAAAGCCTACTTGCTGGTGAAATATTAGCATTTGTATACATTGTTTGATTTGATTTGCTAAAATTTAAAGGATTTTTCCATCATTCAAGAGGGATATTAGTCTCTAATTTTTTATTGTAGTAGTGTTAGCTTTTAACTTCTTTTAGTGTCTTTGTCTAGTTTTGGAATCAGAGTAATACTGTCTTCATAGAATGAGTTAGGAAGTGTTCTCCCTCTTCAGTTACCCAGAAGGGTTTGCATAAAATTGTTTATTTCTTCTTAAAGTTTGATAGAATTCATCAGTGAAGCCATCTGTGTCTGGGTTTTCTTTGTAGGAAGTTTTAAGTACAAATTCAATTTCTTTAGTAGATATAGGGCTATGCAAGGTATAGAGTTCATCTTCCATGAGCTTGTTTGTGTCTTTTGAATGAATTGTCTATTCCACTTGATTAGTCTAATTTATTGGCACAAAGTTATTTGTAATATTATTCTATTACTCTCTTAATATCTGCAAAATATGTAGTGATACCACCTCATTCTGATATTGGAGAATTATGTCTTTTTTTTTTTCCTGGTCAAACTGGCTAGAGGTTATTAATTTTACTGATATTTCAAAGAACCAGCTTTTGGTCTCATTGATTTTTCTCTATTTTTTTGTTTTCTATTTCATTGCTCAGAACTTTATTATTTCCTTGTTTTTCCTATGTTATATTTAATTTGTTTTTCCTGTTCTATTTTTATGAAGGTGGAAGCTGAGGCAATAAATTTGAGAACTTTTTCGTTCTTAACATAGGAATTTGGTGCTATAGATTTGTTTCTTAGTGTCATGTTAACTATAGTACACAAAGTTTGATGTATTTTGTTTTCCACTTTCGTTCAGTCCAAATACTTTCTAATTTCACCTTAGGTTTCTGCTGTGATCCATGGGTTATTTAGAAGTGTGTTATTTGGTTTCCAAATATATTGGGATTCCCCACATCTTTCTGGTTACTGATTTCTAACTTAATTCCATAGTGACCGGAGAATATTTGACTGGAATACTTTTACATTATTGATACTTTTTCTTTCAGTATTGTAAAGGTATTTCTCCCCTGCATTCTGGATTGCATTGTTTTTGTTCCCCTGATTGTGATGTGTCTTCTTTCTCTGGATGCTTTTGAGATTTTTTTATTTTTAGTTTTAAACATTTGATGATCATATGCCTTGGTGTAGTTCTATTCATTTTTCTTCTTTCCTGAGATTTACTGATCTTGGATGTGAAGATTTAGAGTTTTCATCAAATTTGGGGGGGAAAATGAGCAATTATTTCTTCAAATATATTTTCTCTTTCTAATTCACTGTTTGCAGAAATTTTCTAGAACGTAACTACTAGGGATAGTAGACTGTTTTTTTTTTTTATTCATTTCTGCAGAGAAATCATAAGCTGAGAACCTAAGGGATCTCTAGCGTCCTCTTGACATAATGGGAGGTACATGTGGAGTGAGGATACTTTGAGTAGTTCAGTCGTACTCGTATGTAGCCGTTTCCTAGTTACCCGCAGTATACAATGCAAAGATGAGCTTTATACCTGCTGACCCAGCGGTCTGAAGTTGTGTTTCCATGTCCCGAATATTTTTCCTTATTCTGACAGGAACTCATGCCAGACTCTCTACCAAGCACACAAACTTCGAGGAGGGAGTTCACCACATTCCAATCCGCATCAGTGATGGTGGCCGCCCACCCTTGGAAGGGACTGTCTCTTTACCTGGTAAGCCCCTCGAAATGCTGTCAGTGACCATGGGTGTTGGGAGAGAAGTCTTGTCTTTGATATGTTAATCTGCAACTGTTGGCTTGAAAATGTATCCTACTGAGTATCATTTTGCTTTTCAGTTACTTTCTGCACATGTGGGGAAGAAGGTTGTTTCCGGCCAGCAGGTCACATGCCTGGGATGCCCACTGTGGGCATGGCGGTTGGTATACTCCTGACCACTTTATTAGTCATTGGTGAGTATGATTTGTCAGATTGAAGAGTTCCTGTCCTGGGCCTCAGAAACATGAGCTCCCTTCAAGGTCTCTCGTCATGTGCTGGTCTGGTGGCTGCTCAAAGGGCAGCCTAGGCAAGAACCAGATGCTGACATACCTGAAATGTTGCAGAACTTCCCTTTGTGTATTTCCGTGACTGCAATCCTGATTCTTTATTACTCCAGAATAATTTCACTGCATAACAGGACTCACTCTGCCTTGGCCCCTGGCCTGTCTAGACAGAGTCCACATGTCTAGCTGCCTTCTCTTTTGTGAAAATCTCAGTGCCTTGCATAGTAATTGCCCTCTTTCAGCTGTTGTCGTCTTTGTAAATTACTTATTAAAAGTATATACTTCATCAATTCATATCCACTTGAGTGAAGATGTTTATACCACTTCACATCTTTTCTCTTTTATTTATTTATCTATTTATTTATATATAATTTAAAAAAATTTTGTTATCATTCATCTACAATTACATGAAGAACATTACGTTTACTAGGTTCCCCCCTTCATGAAGTCCCCCCACAAACCCCATCACAGTCACTGTCCATCAGCATAGTAAGATGCTGCACTACTTGTCTTCTCTGTGTTGCACAGCCCTCCCCGTGCCCACACCCCACATTATACATGCTAATCGTAATATCCCATTTCTTTTTCCCCATCCTTATCCCTCCCTACCCACCCATCCTTCCCAGTCCCTTTCCCTTTGGTAATTGTTAGTCCATTCTTGGGTTCTGTGATTCTGCTGCTGTTTTGTTCCTTCAGTTTTTCTTTGTTCTTATACTCCACAGATGAGTGGTACTTGTCTTTCTCTGCCTGGCTTATTTCACTGAGCATAATATCCTCTAGCTCCATCCATGTTGTTACAAATGGTAGGATCTGTTTTCTTCTTATGACTGAATGATATTCCATTGTGTACATGTACCATATCTTCTTTATCCATTCATCTACTGATGGACATTTAGGTTGCTTCCATTTCTTGGCTATTGTAAATAGTGCAGCGATAAACATAGGGCTGCATCTGTCTTTTTCAAACTGGGCTGCTGCATTCTTAGGATAAATTCCTAGAAGTGGAATTCCTGGGTCAAATGGCATTTCTATTTTGAGCTTTTTGAGGAACTTCCATACTGCTTGCCACAATGGTTGAACTAATTTACATTTCCACCAGCAGTGTAGGAGGGTTCCCCTTTCTCCACAACCTCACCAACATTTGTTGTTGTTTGTGTTTTGGATGGTGGCAATCCTTACTGGTGTGAGGTGATATCTCATTGTGGTTTTAATTTGCACTCTGATGAGTAGCAATGT